CCCCCCCCCCCCCCCCCGATTTAAGCTAAAACAGGATTAGGAAAACTGCTGGATGTAAAATAGCCTTAATAAAGAGCAAAATCCACATGAGAGGTGGTGGCACAAGTGGTTAGAATGGAGAATTGCAGGCTGATTCTGCCGACTGCCCGCAGTTCAATCCTAACCAGTTCAAGGTGGACTCAGCCTTCCTTCCTTCCTTCCGAGGTGCCGTAAAATGAGGAGCCAAGATAGTTGGGGAAAATACAGGTGTCTCTGTAAACCACTTAGAGAGGCCTGGCTTTTAAGTTCTATTGCTTTTAATTATTGCATTATCCCGAGTCCGGATTTGCCTCGGAGGTCTGTCCCTCATTCGCTCCGAGTGGATTTCCAAACGACATCTCAATTCTGCTGCCTTCTGCTCTCCGACATTTCCATTTTTCCTTCCTTAGTTCACAGCGATGATTTTTTTCTCTCCCCCCCACCGCCCCTCTTTTCCTTCCAGGTATGGCTTCACCAACATGCGCTACATCGCCTCCCTGATTAGCGGCGTCGGCATTTTCATGATGGGGGCCGGCCTCTCGTGGTATCACGGGATTATAGGGCTACTCAATCCTCAGCCGATAGAATCCCTTCTTTGGGTACGTTGTCTTTTGCTGTGGGATAGCCATGAAATCCTCTGCTGCTTCCCCCCCTCCCCCCTTTAAATCTCAAGACAACAACGAGGCGAGGAAGTTGGTGAGATGGAACTATCTAGGGAGGTTAGGACCACAATTGAGCTCCAAATTTCTGTTGCTAAGGGAGACCGTTGTTAAGTGAATTCTTCCCCCAGTTTCCCCAACTTTCCTCGACACAATTGTTAAGTGAGTCTGACTTCTCTGTTGTCAGAAGGTCACAAAAAGGGATCGCGTGACCCCTGGACACTTACAACCGTCATAAATATGAGTCAGTTGCCAAGCATTTGAATTTCGATCAGGTGACGAAGGAATTTTGATCGTGTGAAAAACGGTCCTCTTTTTTTTTCAGTGTCATTGTAACTAAATGGTTACTAAATTAAATGGTTACTAAATGAACTTAATAAAGGGCTGCCTTTATTTCTCTATGGATGAATGTTCAACAGTTATGCATCATTTCGTCTCTCTCTCTTTCACACACACACACACACACACACACACACATTTTGGGAGCTATAGGTAGATAGACAAACTGATAAACACACATCTTCATTCATTTATTTGCAGCCCAAATCAAGCTACTATAGAATGTGGTAAGCATTGGTGCTCTATTACACTATTTGGGGAAATAATTATTAAAATGGAGAGCAGAGTTCGGATGTCTGAAGCTTAGTGACCAGAATGCAAAAATACGCAGAAAGAATTTAATCCCATCTCAAGATACAGATAGTGTTGTGGTTCGCCGGTAGCGGGTGTGGACGGCTGAGGGCTCGGAGAGTGAGGACTCAGGTGAGGGGCCTGCATGTGATGCAGGGATGGGGCCAGGACCCTCAGGGAGTGGAGTGCTACTTTCGGAGATTGTGGAGGCTGGCAGCAGTGATGAAGAGGTCTCTGAGGAGCCTGTGCCAAGTGCCTTGCGTGCAGGGCTGCTCGAAGGAAAGAGCAGCTGCAGCAGTGCGGGCGACTAGGGAGTAAGGCTGCAAGGTGGTGGCCTCTCCCTTAAGGGATAACAGCTGAGAAACCAGAGTTCTTTGCAGGAAGCAAAGAAGCTTTTGCACTCGAGCCTGGTAGACATTTGGAATGTCTGCGTTGGTGTTTTGGAGACTCTTTGTCTTTGAATTATTGCTTAGTAACTTTATCTGGTGTTCTTGGCAGCCTTGCAAAACCTTGGCAAGGCTCTTATCTGAGCTAATTGGTTTGAAGCAGCCTTTTAACCGTGAAGGAACAGGATTCGTAAAGAAACATTAAAAGGTTGTGCCGTTACCTTTGTCTCGTGTTTGCTTCCTTGGAACCAGGTTTGGGTCAGAACAGATAGTTAGTATGACGTATACAGATTATTGTTATTACACACAACTAATTTCTCTTTTTTCTTTCTCCTATCTGTTCTTTTCAGGCTTACTGTATTTTAGCAGGATCTTTGGTCTCAGAAGGAGGTATGTTGCCTTCAGAAAAAAATATGTCAAATCTTAACAAGCATGCAGTGGATTTTTTTTTAGACGAATTAAGTCTTTTATGGATGTTAGCATTCTGACCTGTCAGACTACTGTTGTTTAATACCTACGAATAAAAAAAAACCCCCAATATTAAAAAGATGATATAGTATCAGGATTTATTCCAGTGATCTCTTACATGATCACTTTTCCTGCAAGCTGGTTGATTATCAACTTAATAGCCAGCTATCATCACCCCAATTAGCAATTAAAAACACCCATACACACCAGGCATCATATAAATACCACACGCAAAACAGCCCAAAGGCCACTGGGCTAAGAGAGAAGTTCCTTATAAATGGGCTTTGGCACAAATCTTTAGAAATCTAAATCTTTGGTCCCAGTGACCGACTCAGATTGGATCCTGGTTAATTGTCTGTTGGCCAGAAAGGATTGTTACTTCCTTGATGTTAGGGAACCTGGTGGATTTCTAGGAAAGAAAGGGGCTGAAGGTGTGAATGAAGTCCACGAAACCCTTGATTCCAGCCCAAGATTTTGAGTATCTCTCAGGGCCCCAAAGCTTTCCCACTCCGGATTATGTTTGGTTGGTTCCTGCTCGTGAGATCATCTGGACTGACCCCCCCTTTTTTTTTCTGTCCAGGTTTAAGCTATGAGGGGAATGGCTTGGGAAGCTAAAATGGAATTGGCCACTTAGAGAAATCCCAAAATCCCAAATCTTATGTGCCAGCAAATGATACTGAGATAAATCCTCAGAATTATTTGTGTTTATTTTATTTGTTAAGCTTCTATGCCTCCCATCTAACTGATCCAGCGACTCTGGGTGGCTTACAATAGGAATTGTTTCAGAGTTCTGTTCCCATTTTTAAGTGGTAATTTTCCCGGATTCTTTTACCCCCCAAAAGAAAATAATAAATCTGTGCAGGTGGGAATGTGAGATGTTTTTTCCTGTTGTCTCCTTTAATGAAACAATAGTCTTGATTGTCATGCCCCTGTTAGAATCTGACTCTGAAGGAGAGGAGGAACAGCCAACAGGGAGTGGGAGTGTGGCTCCAGAGGTTGTGGAGGAAACTGGGGAAGGGCACAAGCCGGCTGGGCAGTCAGAGGAAGACCCAGGCCCACCCCCTCTTCATCCTAGGCCACGCAGGGAGGAGCGGATAAGGGAGAAACATGAATGGCATGGTCTACGGGGAGGAAAGGGCCTTGATCCTCTTCATGGGCTGCAGCTGTGAGGACTGTTTAAAAGGACAAACTGCACATGGCCCACTACTGGAAGCAAAGTGTGAAATAATTCTAGTCTTTCAGTTCTTATCTGAGTCTGGCGTCTTTTCCCAGTGTGTGTATTTCGATATCTGTGGACGTCTTCAAGCCCTTATCCTGCCTTGTCTTATTCATTGCTTCAGTGTGGTTTGTGTTAGTTTTTTTTCTATTTATAATTTATATGTGTTTTGAGTTTGAACGGAATTTCTTCCTTTTCGCAACTGTTTGTGGGGGAGTTTTTTTCTCCAGTCAATGATAATTAGACCTTTGAAGCCAATTGAAAGAATTAAAGGGACTTCACCTGATTTTTGTGACTTTGTTGCTTTTGTATCCCACCCTGGGTCATCACATTGATGCTCTTGCAGCTACTCTTCTGGTAGCCATCAACGAAATCCGAAGGAGTGCTCGAAGCAAGGGACTCTCGTTTTACCAGTATGGTATGTAGGCTTTAACGTTCCTTGTTTTAATGTGCTTGAATAACTCTCAATAACTTAGGTAGTCCTCGACTTACAACAGTCCATTTACTGACCGTCCAAAGTTACAACAGCACTGAAAAAAGCCCCTTTTTTCACAGTTACAACCTTTGTAGCGTTCCCCATGCTTGTGTGATCAAAATCCAGGTGCTTGGCAAACGGTTCATACTTACGACCGTTGCTCACGTCATTTTTGCAACCTTCTGACGAGCAAAGTCAACGAGAGAAGTCCGGTTCCCTTAACAAACGCCTTGCTAACTTCTCAGCTGCAGGGATTCGCTTAACAACGGTGGCAAGAGGGGTCGTAAAAATGGGGCAAAACTCAAAATGTTTCACTTAGCAACAGAAACGTTGGGCTCCCTTGTGGTTGTAACTCGAGAGCTGCCTGTATTGCAAAGAAGGAAATGATTATGATGACAGTTACAACCTATTTGTACACACCTCCCTGAAATTGTATCAGTGTGCTGCTAATTTCTCTTTTAACGTTCAGTTATTCAGGCTTGTGATCCCAGCACAAACGTTGTGTTGTTAGAAGATACGGCAGCCGTTCTTGGTGTGACGCTAGCTGCTACCTGTATGGGGCTGACTTCCCTAACAGGTGAGCCCTTGTGTTCTGTGAAGCGCGGTAGGTGAAAGCCAGGCTGGGTTTTGTTAGATGGCAATAAAACTGGAATCATTTTTCTGTAGTTAGCAGAATCAGTTATACTTTCTGTTTTGTTTGTATACATAGTTTTCTTTTTTTAAGTGAGAAAGAGTTTTATACAGCTATTAAAATCTGCAGAAACGTAAAGAACAAATTAGAAGAAAGGAAAAGGTATTAAAAGTGGGGGTGGGGGGATTGAGAAACACTGGGAATCCAAGAAAGAGAAGAAAAGAGGAGAAAGAAAGAGTGTCTAAAAGAACTGATCTTCTTTGCAGCCGTTACAAATAGGATTATTGCCGCCTCCCAAATAATTATCATGGTTCCCTTCTTCCAGTAAAACAAGCCTTTTTAATTCGTAAATCCAGAATCTACACATGCACGGTAAATCCATGCATATTCAGGGCAATGTTTCAAAAAGGATTCTCTCCCTGATTAATCCAGTCTAATCTGACAGCTGAATAAATAGAATACAGAATCCTTTATTGGCCAAGTGTGACTGCACACACGCAAGGAATTTGTCTCCGGTGCAGAAGCTCTCAGTGTCCATACCAGCAACAAAGTGATAAATCATGATCATCATCGTAGAATACAATCATCATAAAGTATAGGAAACAACACCCAGGGATAGCCATAGGATACTAAATAAGCAATCAACATAAATCATAATAGGACACTAAATAAAAGCAATCAACATAAACTATGAGATACAACAAGAAGTTATAGTCATAAGAATCTAAGGAAATAAATAGTAGGAGAGATGAGAAGGATAATAAGTAATACAGCACTACTAGGTGAATAGAATAGAACAGGATAGGATAGGATAGGATAGGATAGAATAGGATAGAATAAGGGAATAGACTAGAACAGTGAGGGTGAACATTTTGTTGTGGTGGGCTGAAAGCCCACGCACGCCGGCACCCACAATGCAATGCATCCCAGGCACGTGCACGCAACATCCCCTCCTTACCTGCACTGCACATGTGTGCGCCTCCCAGCTGATTTCCCACCTGTTTGAGGCCTTTTTTTGGCCTCCCTCGAGGGAAGCCTCTACAGCCTTTGGAGGGTGAAAAATGGGCCCGTTTTTTGCCCCCTCCAAATACTGGAAGTGACGAAGCAGGTCTGTTTTTTGGCCTCCAAAGGCTGCAAAGGCTTCCCTTGAGCCCCCAGGAGGGCGAAAACGGCCTCAAGCGGGCTGAAAACCACCTGGGAGGTGCGTGTATGCGCAATGCAGGTAAGTTTGGCTGGGGCTCGCGTGCCCACACAAATGCGTGCCATAGGTTCGCCATCACAGAACTAGATAGAATAGGGAATACGATAGAATAGAGTGGAATAGAAATAGAATAGAATTAGAATAGAATAGAATAGAATAGAATAGAATAGAATAGAATAGAATA